TACTAAGTCAACAAACTTAGTTAAAGTAACACTGAAAAGTGAGCTACTCAAGATACAGTCCAGGTACGGAGAATTAGAATGGACAGAATTAAACTTCGATAAGAATGAGCTTGTGTTTTAAAACAGAGTCCTTCGACTTTGTTATTTTAAAATTGAAGAATCGTTTGGCCACAACTCACTTCGTTTGCATTATAGATTCACATTCACTTTCACTTTCACCATCACGCACAGTACAGGGTCATACCTCAATACCAAATTATTATAGGGCACAAGAACAAATTTGTTTACAATTATCAAAATTTGTTGAGCCAGCAGCTTTCTTTCCTTTAGCCAGCAGCTATCTCTTCCCCCGTCGTCTGGAGTGTGTGATTTTTGTCGATGTCCGAGCTCTTATATTTATCTTTAGTTTATGGTTAACTTTCTGTGATTGGACTCGGTATTTTCGTCCCGGCCGAGTGAAACGATGCTTGCTCGCCAGTTAAGCTATACTGTAGATAACACTAATTTCTACAAACTGTAGAATATTAAATATAAAATGTGTCCAGTATGGCGCAGATGCATAATTTGATTATTTTTCGACGCCGTCGTCGGGGTGAGAGTTATCCGAAATAACTGCATGCCCCTACGATTGCGTCACCACTGGTGAGCAAGCATTTGTTTGTTGTTTAGTTGTGTTGAAAGGGAACATTACTTGATTAATTCATCCATTCGGATTTTAATAACGATGAGCTTTACCTAAGGACCCCAGGCTATTATGTTCATTAATATAGATTTGGCGGAATGACAGGCTGAGCGCGGCCCAGTAACGATGAGCTATGATATATACCGTTCATCTTATATAATTGGATCAATTTTATTATATGATTTGTAGCGCAATGCACTACTGGGTCGCGCGCGCATCAAATAATGCTTCTCGCAACCACATTTCCATTCTCGTACTATCACCGGTCACGCTAAATTATAATGACATCAATGTGTTTAAAGAAATCGTGGGCATCACTCAGTAAACTGCGCGTCTTTGGCGCGTGTCTTGTTGTTATGCATCAATCCTTCGGTAGATCGGCGAGATGCACCACTGTGCCTCACCGAGCTGCGAAGGATTGACATCGTGAATCAATTATATGATAAGATTTTACAAACGAACTTGGCACACAAAAGATTATAATGCGGAGGTTGGCTGGCTCTTTTATAATAAATACGACACTTCAATTTACAGAATGCTTGCTATAGAATAAAACGAATAAATATTACCAGACTATACATGCAGCATGAGTAACTGGTGGATAAGCCCTCGGTAAAAACGGATCCGGAAAAGTCATTGTGGCACTCGGGTCCTTGGTATTGTCGTCGGTATATTGTCCATTACCTACGTTCTGCTTTCATAGTTTAAACAATAGTGAGTTCTAAATATACAGCTTTAAACCGACAAAGTATGAATGAATGAAATACCTGACAATCTACACTCCTATAAAAATTTAAAAAAAGCATGAGTAACTTGTAGTGATGTATGATTTCTAGAAAATTTAAATTAAATTTGGCGCTCACAGGTCCTCATGATCATGTGATCGCCGCGTGACTTTCTGTAAATGCACAGGGCACCTTCGAGCTTATATGTTATATTATTCACCTTACTGAGGCAGTCAACCAACGCGCGGCTTTATTTTTATGATATGATATGTTTTGATTGTTACTAATAAATACCAAAATTTAAATTTGTTTTCCTAAAATTTGTTTTCCTTATAATTGATTGTGTAATAAATTCGAAATTTTCTTTTCTCAATATTAGATAGACGGAAGATCGAACTAAAATGTACAAACGGTGAACAGATCTGTTTTCATGTCGAGTGTTTGTGAGGAAAAAGCGATTTGCTACTTGGCCTCGCCAAGCTGCGATGAATTGACATCGTCAATTAATACTTGACCATTGTTAATGATCTGGCCCGGCGCGCGCTACTTCGTAGCACTTGCCATCGGGCAACATTTCGAGAAGGAAGCGGCGCGCGCTACTTCGAAGAAATTTAGACGAGTAACATCCGTCAAATTAATACCACAGCTTACTCGTAATTGCAAATTATAGGTTTATAACTTACCAAAACGCGCGCATAGTTGGACTCGTCGACGGTCTTTGAAACAAATATTTTATAATTAGTATCATCCGTTAAACTCGTAAACAAAAACAAATAAACATGCTATACAAAAGTCAGAACGATGAAAATAAAATCGATTAAAATAAAAATTTCGCCCATATTTGATGTTGTATCACGTTGTGACCCCCACGGTTGTTTCACCTTTATCGTCCTGACGATACAGGGGGAGCCGCGCACTCGTGCACGGCGGGTCATACAACGTATGACAAATTTGATGTGGGCTGGTGCAATCACAATAATAACATTTGCAATTTGGATTTATCTGCGTACCTGCATATATTATGTTTGTTTTTTGTAAATTGTGAAAGTGACAGGAGATTTTATTTTTAACAACAATCAACACTTGGAATATGAAATTTAAATATTAATTAAAATTACTGCGTTCAATGCTGAACGCGCGGCTCATATCAAGGTTTGTATCACGTCGTGACCCCAAATGTCGTTTCACTGTAGATGTTTTACGATACAGTGTAGCCGAGCACTCGTGCGCAGCGGGTCATACAACGTATGACAAAACTTCACATAGCTATAAGTTTACTTGTATATCACGTCGTAAACCCCATTGTCGTTACCCCTGTAGCGTTAATTCTACGGGGCGCCGGGCCACGCACTCATGCACGCGGTGGGTCATACAACGTATGACAAAAGTTTACTAACTGGGCACTGAAAAAGTGCGGATGCTAATTGGAAGATAGTGTGCGCGTGATTGCTCTAATCAGAGCCCTCTCGCTTGCAGTAGCGCGTGACCGCCGAAGGCGGCAAAACAACCCGTTTCTTGCAGATTTCGAAGTTTGATGAACTTTTGATGTAACAATAGTAAAAATTACAGATCTTTGTAATGAAGTCGCGAGGATTCTTGATAACCTTTTAATACCAAATGCCAGTGAAAGTAAAGAAAAACTGTTTTGTTACTGAAAACGAGATTATTTACCATATCTTGCTGAAATTCAGAAGGAGACTGATGAAAAGAACAGCATAAATAAAGCTAGGCAAGTTTATCAGGATGCATAGAATATTTCTAAGAAAGAGTTGGTATCCACACATCCTATTATCAGGTAAGTAATCAGGTAAGTAAACAGTATGCTTGATAATCTGAAGGAGGAATCGTATAAGGGCAGCACGTTAATCATGCAGTTGTAAAGAGACAATCTTACTCTCTGGAGTGACGATAATTCGCACTTAGGAAATTATAGATATGAACCGTTGCGAACTTTGCTGGCTATTTCATATGAGCGAATCTGAACTTTTCCAGAATAGATATGAACCGTTGTGAACTTTGCTGGCTATTTCATATGAGTGAATCAGAAATTTTCCAGAAGTTGCTGATAGGCTTACTCCTCTGGAACAAGTAACACGTGATGAATTTATCCCAGCTATCATCAACAGACTGTTTAGCTGCACTGATGATTTAAGGAACATAATGGCTCTACCACCAAGATATGGAGGATTAGGTATTCCAGTTATGATGGTCATGGCAGATCGAGAGTACAAATTCTCCTGTAAAGCTACAAAACATCTAAAAGAAGCCATTCTCAAGCAGGTAGACAACTACACAGAGGATTGGAAACACAGCAAAGGAGTGAAAACCGAAATAACGACCGAACGGAATCTCTTCTATCTACAAAAACAAGCAGAAATACGCCAGCAGCTTGAGTCAACACCACTGGCAAAGTTGATGTTCCAACTAGCTGCTGAGAAAGGGGCAAGTGCTTGGTTAACAGCACTACCTTTAAAAGAGTATGGATATCTGATGAACAAACAAAGTTTTAAAAAAGGATACGATTTCTAAATGTATTGTAAATGACTTTTTATTTTTGTAATGTTTCGAAAGAAGTTTTAACAAGAATATTATATACAGTTTTGTTTTTATGTGTACTGAACAATGTTTTTTACAAAATTTAGGCTTACTTATTTATTAACCTATCGTGTACTGAAAGGTACCCGTTCATTATCATGGCCAGCAAACTCAGAACTTTATTTAACCAAAGCTCTTATTTGTAGGCTAAATAAAAATAAGTTTTAAAATGAACAAGTTGATTATTTAAAAAATCTTAGAATAAGATCTAAAAAATATATAAACACTGTTTCCAATTCGATCAAGTTTGTAACATTTTAAATCAGATGAAAAGTTTCTTAGTCCATTTGGATTAATTTAGATTATTTGATTTTATCTGATGTCTGCATAGTCTATTGCAATGCGTGGGCGATTAAAAATGTTTTAAAAAAACTCAATAAGGAGTGCAATAAGTAGAGCTGTTGCAGTAGACCCACCAGATGGGAATTTCATGAAGGCTTCCTTTAAATATCAATTTAATTTGTTTGTAATCTAGTTTTTTCCAATAGTAATAAATGGCATAAAATTGAAATTTTTTGTTTAACATAATTCCCACCATGCCAGTTTAGAATACTCAACATCCAGATCGATTATAGACTGGTGTTTTGAGCATTTACCTCTTATGTGGGGGCATTGTCCTACAGCTCTGAGGGCCCAGTAACCACTTTAACAGTAAACTACATCTTAACCAGTTGCAAGGTCTTGTGACTGGAGCTAGGGATAGTTACAAGCCACGAGGATACATTAGAATCATAAAACCAATCTTTTACACATATTTTTGATTGAATCGATTAAAAGCGGTCTCCGGTGATTTATAGTCAATTGTCAAATTAACCTGAAGCTCAATTTTCCCGAGAAGTACTCAAGCCTTGTGCTGGCATCACTCATTTTCTTCCAAAGATTAGATTTTTATTCAATTCTAGTTCAAATAACTTTTCATTAAAGATTCATTGGGTATTGCCATGTAACATCTTAATTTTATATTCTAGTTTGTATCGGATGTAATTCGAGAATTTGTGTTTATATAGGTAAGGAAGTTGAGCCCAGGCCATGGGCGTGGGTAGGGAAAGTGCTAGAGATGCGATCACTAGATCCATCAATGAGCTTAACGGAATTAATGAGATATTGTCCTCAGACACAGACGATCTTCACCAAAATCAGGTACAATCTGATCATTTTTTTCTATTTAGTGAGTCAATTCTGCTAAAGGGTGCAAAGTTTCGTTAATTAATCATGTTTAATGATCACGTGATTGCTGTAAATTAACTGTAAAAGTAAGTAAAACTGTTTGACAAGAAAATTGACACTTTTTTGCAAATATTATGTTTTATACTCCAAAGGTTCAAATCGAATTGTGTTTCTAGCAATCTAGCATAGTAGCAGTTCCTATCAATAAAATTTCAGTCCATAGACACTGTGCTGAAGAGAGTGAGAAGGAAGAAAAGGCCAGGAAATAAACTTAACCATTCTGGAAACATCTACAATTGTAAGAAAAGCAACGACATCTTCTTGAAGGAGCTAGCTTCTGAATTAGGGGTTTGTAATCCCTCTTCTTTCTTCAACAAGTGTTCAGTTACTGACAGATAACTCATCACAAATTAAAAGGACCATTATTTCTTAATTCTTATGGAAACTGTGTGGGTGTAAATTGTGAATCCTATCAGATTGATCCAGAGTTACAAGACATCACACCCTCTCACAATTCTCCTCTCTCCTCCCTATTCGGTGATCCTGATAAGATGAAAATCTGGTTGGTTTTTATTGACTCAGCTGAGGATGTTCAGGATAAGATGTAAGTGACACTATCAAATTCTAGTAGTAGTTGTAGTAGTAGTTATTTAATACTTGTATACACTATCCTTGAAATTGACACGTGATCAGCTAATGAATAAATACTAATGCATGATGTATCTTCAATGTACTGCCATTTTATTAAGTTCCTTAATTGCTGATGTACATTATCTTACAGCTAATTATGTACCATATCTTTTAGGCTGTCTGTGGGTCCAGAGGCTGAAAGCAAGTCGAGGTACAAGAAGATATCCAAATCAATCCGAGCTGAGCTTGAAAACGTATCTTGTAAAACGATCAAACAGGTAATAGTGAGCACTGAACGACTTATGATAATTAGATGCTTGGACTATGATAATTAGATGCTTGAAATTAGCTGAGTTATATTTGTTAAACTTGGAAGTATTCAAATTATGTTTCCAGAACCTCGAATATTTCAGTTCGAATCAGATGACATGTATAATGTATATTGGATTACTTCCGCCTGAATTTCAGGTGGAGGTAATCCAAATAAATATGGACCCCCACATATTCTACTCGACTTCATGACTGCTTCTACTTATAAAAGCAATTGCACCATCTTTACTTATTATTGACTCACTTCAGTTCGAGGAAGATATCTACAGTATAGTTAGTGATATGGGGTACAACAGTGTAGCAGTAATGTCTGCTGCTACTAAAGCTGACAGGATGGCTATAGTCGCTATATCCCAGTATTCCCGGCTAAAGTGCACCTCTCATCTTCCTATCAATGTGGTCGAGGTAGTCACTTATTCAGATTTTTTTCAACTTATTATTTCGTTATAAACATGATCATTGGCATGCACTTAGAGATGATAATTGTGATACGTAGTGCATATAACCACTATAAATATGTAATTCGTGTTATGACTATGCTTGTCAGATGTAATTGTTTTAAACATCAGATGAAATCATACGTTGAAATTTAGAGCTTCATTCCATTATCCACTGAAGTTAAACAGCCACTTTATTATCAAAAGTTTTCACTGTTAAAGTTATTATAAAACTGCACTTGTGTTAGTAGCAGTGCCGTTGTTTTCACTGATCGCACTCTTTGATTCCTAGTATAATGTTCTGCAGATGGATGATACAACAATTTCCATATCTTGTAGTGCAATTAGGACAATAATCAAACTTAAACTTATTTATCTAACATCATCTTCGGTGTTATTAGTTAAATAATTGAAGTATTAAGTCGTGATATTACTTAGTAAGTTATAATCGTATATATAGGTACTTTATAAAGTACAACATGTATTACAGGATTTACTAAACGATATTCATTGTTTTCAGGTTGAGTTAAAACGGAAACATTTCACAAAGCCAAGTGTGCCACTTTCCAAGCTCCTACTTCTTCGTCACTAATCAATGTATTAAATAATCATATACGATATATTATCAGAACTCAGTTTTAAAATACAAAATTGTCCATTTATTTTCCACAGCTAAAGTTTTGAGGTATTCATGAAATTCAATTTTTCTGTTTTCTGGGAATTTAAATTCTAGATAAAACATAACATTTAATCTTTTCGGGGGTTGCAAATTACTTCAATTTTTCATCTTTTATCTTTTCTGATATCGTTTTAGGATCGGATGTTTAGACTATAGCGTAGTTAATAGTTTGATTTTTACCAGTCTTTTTTTGATTGTGGAATGGTGTATATAAAAGTATGATATAATACTCAATTAGTATGTAATAGTAATTTCATTGTAATTTTGAAACTAAAAAGTAGTACAATTTTTTTTATTATTATCATTTAGTGGCCGATGTTGATTGGGTGAGTATTGAGTAAGGGGTTGTTCACATACGTTAAGTGATCACTTTTTAGCCCCTAATCGCGATGGTGTTAGATAAAACAACAACAGAACAACAACATAGTCGGGTATTTTCACACTAAAATAGAGGACAGTTTCTTGTTAAAAGAGAAGACAGCAGAGTCGGATATATTTCAAGGCCGGCAGAACAACAAAATTAGTACTTACTATAAATAGTCAATATCGATACAGCTCTTCTAAGAATATGTCTGGAACATGCTTCTAGTCCTGGCCGCGAGCGACACACATTTTTTTCAGTAATATCAGCACTCGATTACGTAGACCGGGCGAGCGCGCACGCGCACTATTGGAAGCACTTTTGCCCAGCGACCAATTAGTACAGTACAGTGAATATAATTAGTATGTTAATTGGTGATGGTATGAAACCAAATTGAGGTACTGGGAGTCAAAATCCCGAATAAAATTGCAAAATCATATTGTCCCAATCTTTGCCCCATTTTCAGTTTTTGAAGATGAAATTTCCAGGACCGAAATTTTACAGTTTTGACTGATTTTTTCACCCGCAACAAATTAGTCGGTCAACTATAGATGGCATATGGCACGATTGAGGTGCTGGAAGTTTGATCTCGTTCTGAGGAAGCTCACAGCAGAAAGGTTAACAAAACGAAAAGTTGTATTTTCAAACTTCTGTCCCATTTTCAAATATGAAATTTTCTGAACACAAATTTGACAGACTGGGTGGAATTTTTGCCCAAATACCAATTAATCTGTTAATTGGTGATGGTATGAAACCAAATTGAGGTACTGGGAGTCAAAATCCCGAATAAAATTGCAAAATCATATTGTCCCAATCTCTGCCCCATTTTCAGTTTTTGAAGATGAAATTTCCAGGACCGAAATTTTACAGTTTTGACTGATTTTTTCACCCGCAACCAATTAGTCGGTCAACTATAGATGGCATATGACACGATTGAGGTGCTGGAAGTTTGATCTCGGTCGGAGGAAGTTCAAAGCAGAAAGGTTAACAAAACGAAAAGTTTTATTTTCAAACTTCTGTCCCATTTTCAAATATGAAATTTTCTGAACACAAATTTGACAGATTGGAAGGAATTTTTGCCCAAATACCAATTAATCTGTTAATTGGTGATGGTATGAAACCAAATTGAGGTACTGGGAGTCAAAATCCCGAATAAAATTGCAAAATCATATTGTCCCAATCTCTGTCCCATTTTCAGTTTTTGAAGATGAAGTTTCCAGGACCGAAATTTTACAGTTTTGACTGATTTTTTCACCCGCAACCAATTAGTCGGTCAACTATAGATGGCATATGACACGATTGAGGTGCTGGAAGTTTGATCTCGGTCGGAGGAAGCTCACAGCAGAAAGGTTAACAACACGAAAAGTTGTATTTTCAAACTTCTGTCCCATTTTCAAATATGAAATTTTCTGAACACAAATTTGACAGATTGGATGGAATTTTTGCACAAATACCAATTAGTCTGTTAATTGGTGATGGTATGAAACCAAATTGAGGTACTGGGAGTCAAAATCCCGAATAAAATTGCAAAATCATATTGTCCCAATCTCTGCCCCATTTTCAGTTTTTGAAGATGAAATTTCCAGGACCGAAATTTTACAGTTTTGACTGATTTTTTCACCCGCAACAAATTAGTCGGTCAACTATAGATGGCATATGGCACGATTGAGGTGCTGGAAGTTTGATCTCGTTCTGAGGAAGCTCACAGCAGAAAGGTTAACAAAACGAAAAGTTGTATTTTCAAACTTCTGTCCCATTTTCAAATATGAAATTTTCTGAACACAAATTTGACAGACTGGGTGGAATTTTTGCCCAAATACCAATTAATCTGTTAATTGGTGATGGTATGAAACCAAATTGAGGTACTGGGAGTCAAAATCCCGAATAAAATTGCAAAATCATATTGTCCCAATCTCTGTCCCATTTTCAGTTTTTGAAGATGAAGTTTCCAGGACCGACATTTTACAGTTTTGACTGATTTTTCACCCGCAACCAATTAGTCGGTCAACTATAGATGGCATATGACACGATTGAGGTGCTGGAAGTTTGATCTCGGTCGGAGGAAGCTCACCGCAGAAAAGTTAACAAAACGAAAAGTTGTATTTTCAAACTTCTGTCCCATTTTCAAATATGAAATTTTCTGAACACAAATTTGACAGACTGGATGGAATTTTTGCCCAAATACCAATTAATCTGTTAATCGGTGATGGTATGAAACCAAATTGAGGTACTGGGAGTCAAAATCCCGAATAAAATTGCAAAATCATATTGTCCCAATCTCTGTCCCATTTTCAGTTTTTGAAGATGAAATTTCCAGGACCGAAATTTTACAGTTTTGACTGATTTTTTTCACCCACAACCAATTAGTTGGTCAACTATAGATGGCATATGACACGATTGAGGTGCTGGAAGTTTGATCTCGATCGGAGGAAGCTCACAGCAGAAAGGTTAACAAAACGAAAAGTTGTATTTTCAAACTTCTGTCCCATTTTCAAATATGAAATTTTCTGAACACAAATTTGACAGACTGGGTGGAATTTTTGCCCAAATACCAATTAATCTGTTAATTGGTGATGGTATGAAACCAAATTGAGGTACTGGGAGTCAAAATCCCGATTAAAATTGCAAAATCATATTGTCCCAATCTCTGCCCCATTTTCAGTTTTTGAAGATGAAATTTCCAGGACCGAAATTTTACAGTTTTGACTGATTTTTTCACCCGCAACAAATTAGTCGGTCAACTATAGATGGCATATGGCACGATTGAGGTGCTGGAAGTTTGATCTCGGTCGGAGGAAGCTCACAGCAGAAAGGTTAACAAAACGAAAAGTTGTATTTTCAAACTTCTGTCCCATTTTCAAATATGAAATTTTCTGAACACAAATTTGACAGACTGGATGGAATTTTTGCCCAAATACCAATTAATCTGTTAATCGGTGATGGTATGAAACCAAATTGAGGTACTGGGAGTCAAAATCCCGAATAAAATTGCAAAATCATATTGTCCCAATCTCTGTCCCATTTTCAGTTTTTGAAGATCAAATTTCCAGGACCGAAATTTTACAGTTTTGACTGATTTTTTTACCCACAACCAATTAGTTGGTCAACTATAGATGGCATATGACACGATTGAGGTGCTGGAAGTTTGATCTCGATCGGAGGAAGCTCACAGCAGAAAGGTTAACAAAACGAAAAGTTGTATTTTCAAACTTCTGTCCCATTTTCAAATATGAAATTTTCTGAACACAAATTTGACAGACTGGGTGGAATTTTTGCCCAAATACCAATTAATCTGTTAATTGGTGATGGTATGAAACCAAATTGAGGTACTGGGAGTCAAAATCCCGAATAAAATTGCAAAATCATATTGTCCCAATCTCTGTCCCATTTTCAGTTTTTGAAGATGAAGTTTCCAGGACCGACATTTTACAGTTTGACTGATTTTTTCACCCGCAACCAATTAGTCGGTCAACTATAGATGGCATATGACACGATTGAGGTGCTGGAAGTTTGATCTCGGTCGGAGGAAGCTCACCGCAGAAAGGTTAACAAAACGAAAAGTTGTATTTTCAAACTTCTGTCCCATTTTCAAATATGAAATTTTCTGAACACAAATTTGACAGACTGGATGGAATTTTTGCCCAAATACCAATTAATCTGTTAATCGGTGATGGTATGAAACCAAATTGAGGTACTGGGAGTCAAAATCCCGAATAAAATTGCAAAATCATATTGTCCCAATCTCTGTCCCATTTTCAGTTTTTGAAGATCAAATTTCCAGGACCGAAATTTTACAGTTTTGACTGATTTTATCACCCACAACCAATTAGTTGGTCAACTATAGATGGCATATGACACGATTGAGGTGCTGGAAGTTTGATCTCGATCGGAGGAAGCTCACAGCAGAAAGGTTAACAAAACGAAAAGTTGTATTTTCAAACTTCTGTCCCATTTTCAAATATGAAATTTTCTGAACACAAATTTGACAGATTGGATGGAATTTTTGCACAAATACCAATTAGTCTGTTAATTGGTGATGGTATGAAACCAAATTGAGGTACTGGGAGTCAAAATCCCGAATAAAATTGCAAAATCATATTGTCCCAATCTCTGTCCCATTTTCAGTTTTTGAAGATGAAATTTCCAGGACCGAAATTTTACAGTTTTGACTGATTTTTTACCCACAACCAATTAGTTGGTCAACTATAGATGGCATATGACACGATTGAGGTGCTGGAAGTTTGATCTCGATCGGAGGAAGCTCACAGCAGAAAGGTTAACAAAACGAAAAGTTGTATTTTCAAACTTCTGTCCCATTTCCTAATATGAAATTTTCTGAACACAAATTTGACAGATTGGATGGAATTTTTGCCCAAATACCAATTAGTCTGTTAATTGGTGATGGTATGAAACGAAATTGAGGTACTGGGAGTCAAAATCCCGATTAAAATTGCAAAATCATATTGTCCCAATCTCTGTCCCATTTTCAGTTTTTGAAGATGAAATTTCCAGGACCGAAATTTTACAGTTTTGACTGATTTTATCACCCACAACCAATTAGTTGGTCAACTATAGATGGCATATGACACGATTGAGGTGCTGGAAGTTTGATCTCGGTCGGAGGAAGCTCACAGCAGAAAGGTTAACAAAACGAAAAGTTGTATTTTCAAACTTCTGTCCCATTTTCAAATATGAAATTTTCTGAACACAAATTTGACAGATTGGATGGAATTTTTGCACAAATACCAATTAGTCTGTTAATTGGTGATGGTATGAAACCAAATTGAGGTACTGGGAGTCAAAATCCCGAATAAAATTGCAAAATCATATTGTCCCAATCTCTGTCCCATTTTCAGTTTTTGAAGATCAAATTTCCAGGACCGAAATTTTACAGTTTTGACTGATTTTTTTACCCACAA